AGATGTTCAATGTCGAGGGCCGAGAACGGGCCCGCGCGCTGCAGTGCAGCTTGTTCGTTGGCTCACGCCACCACGTCCTTATCGTAGCTCGTACCCATCACGCGCTCCTCTATCGCTCGTACCTTACATAACCAGCCAGGCTACCGCCCAGACATCGCCCAGGCCGTTTGGCGGCCAGCACTTTCAGTAGGCGCATAGCCTATCAGGGACATTCGCATAGCTTGCTCTGATTCGTGCGAGTTTCCGAACAGCCGCGGATTCAGCACGAAGCAGTCGATCGAAAAACGAACATGACTCGATATTGCGACATTGCCTGCTCTTCAATTTCATAGCGGTGAGTTGCCTTGTCAGGCAAGGCTGCTAGCCCTCGTCGGTATCTGCCGCCATGTCGTTCGCCGCCGAAGTGCTGGACCACTGTGCGTTAGCAGACCGAGGGTGTGGCGGCTGTTAAGCAACGATCAGCATCGGATGGCTTAATCCGACTCAACGAAAAGGGGATGGGAACAATGAAGATGGCGTCGATTGCGATTGTGGCTATTTCTGTCGGAATCCTAACAGGATGCAACAGCGGCCTGACCGAGGTGTCTCGGCCTTTGGCGAACAAGCATGTCAACGCCGGAAGCGGGAATGGCGCGGACAGTGGTTCTGGCAACGGCGGCAATCCGTCGACGGCTAGCCTGGCACAAGGCTATTATGTGGACATGATCACGCCGGGGCAGCGTGAGGTGGGCATCGTGCGCGACGACGGCGCGTTTTGGATCGCGTACGAGGGCGATACACTGAGGCTGGGCGGCTTTGTCAGCGGCATCGGCACGGCGGCCGGCACGCAGGCGAGCGGCACGTTCACGTCGACCGATGCGATCCGCTACGATTTTGGGCAGCGCACGACCGATGCTGAGCGGGTCGATGCGCACTACGTGTACAAGGACTGCCTATGCGGACGCAGCATCGAGGCGTCCAACGGTGCGGTGAAGGTGACGTTCAGCTCGAGTTACCAGTCGCTGTACGAGTTGCAGCCGACGCTTACGGCGCTGGCTGGCACGTACAGCGGTGGGGTGGCACAGACGTTGGTGGACGAGCAGGGCGTCACGCTGCAAATCGGCGCGGATGGCGCATTGAGCGCGGTGATGGCCAACGCATGCACGTTGACCGGTACGTTCAAGCCGCATGCAGTGGGCAACCTGTACGATGTGACGGTCACGGCGGGGCCGGCACCGTGCTCGACGCCCGGCACAGTGTACACCGGCGTCGCGGTACTGGACAGCGGCAAGCTGCTCGTGATGGCTACCGACGCATCACGGCAGGCTGCCCTTGCGCTCCGTGGAGCACGCCCCATCGCCGCAACGCCAGTCTCAAGCTCTTCCGCCTCGTGAGCGTTCACAAAATCGGTGCGCCGGGCGCTGAATTTGCCGCATCGGTGGCTGGCATGCGATCGTGGCGCGTATATCGCTTGCCTTCGGCGCTCGCATGGCTGACAATTTCAGTCTTGCCAAAAAGCAAGGGACTGTCACCCGGTAGGCGGGTGGGCGTTTAGGCTATTGACACTCATGTCCAACTAGCCGATAATCGCCAGTTCTCTGCGGAGGGGTGCCCGAGTGGCTAAAGGGGGCAGACTGTAAATCTGTTGGCTTACGCCTACGTTGGTTCGAATCCAACCTCCTCCACCAGAATTTTGCGGCAGCGGTACAGGGTGGAAGCACCTCGCGGGTGTAGCTCAATGGTAGAGCAGAAGCCTTCCAAGCTTACGACGAGGGTTCGATTCCCTTCACCCGCTCCAGCGTTTCAGATGTTCGCCCATGTGGCTCAGTGGTAGAGCACTCCCTTGGTAAGGGAGAGGTCGGCAGTTCGATCCTGCCCATGGGCACCAGCAAGTGTCGGTGATGCGTTTGCGCGTGGCGCAACGGACCAAATTCCTGTTAGGAGTCTAAAAATGGCCAAAGGCAAGTTTGAACGGACCAAGCCGCACGTGAACGTGGGCACGATCGGTCACGTTGACCATGGCA